GGGAAGGGTGCTCCTAAACCATATACTAATTTGAGATCTGGGACCATCCAAGTAAAAATTATTACAGGGTTCACAGCTTCCAGAAACATCCCTTACACTTGCCTACCCCATCCAGCATTGTGCTGCAGAGGTTCCTAGGTGGACCCCCCAGTGTCATTTTCATTCTTCCATGGCGAAGCAAGTCTTGTCCAGTCACACAGCTGCCAAGCTAAGGACTACATTTCTTGGCTTCCTGTGGCCATGTGACAAGGCTCTGGTCCATGGCAGGTGCCCAGGTTCCATCCTCCCATCATTGTTGTCTTGTTTGCTGGATTGGGAACACCATGCAGAAGGACCTGCCCCTGTGCGTGGAACAGCTAGGTGACTGTAATACTGGGAGCTCCCTTTTGATGAAATGACCGTGTAAGAAAGGGGGAGCCCCCGGAACTTGCTGGCAGGTGTCAGTTTTTCCTTCCACTGAGTTAACCCAGACTTGCTGAGCCAACCTTTTGCTAATGTACTGAAAGGGGTCCTCTTTTCAAGATGAGCTTCCAGGGGCATTCCTCTGTAGTTGAGTGATTTAAAGTTCAGTATTACTCATTCTGCATAGACATAACAATTTCATAACACGGTCATGGAGGATGGCAGCAAGTCACACTGTCACATACTGTCCAGTGTTGACCCACATCAACATGTTCTGCATGACCCAGAGAAAATGCTTTGTAGCACCCTTGGATCTGGACTTTACAGTAAAGATATTTAATGACAATAGACATGAAAGTGTTACTTACAGCAAAACACTGAGATAGCAATTGGAATAAAGATGAGTATATGATGGAGAGCCTGGACAATTGCTTAAAAAAAAGATTTTGAGGGACTAATATGTTTTTGTGCAGTTTAGTTTCAGGGAGTCCTGACAAGAGACAATGTTGACATCATGTTGCATTTGGTCTCATCACATCATTGCCACTCGAGTTTTCATTGATGAAAGTGAAAAATGTCTTAAAATCACTGTCCTCATTATAGATGGCAAAGTGACTTCTAATAAACCCTCACACCCCACCACTTCATCCCAAGGCTGGGGTTTCCCTTGAATGGAATCTTTGTTAAAGGAACAGCCACTGTTTTGGCTCATCTCTTGAAGAGTTACTGTAACAATGACCCCTCCCTCAAAAACTAGTTTCTCTTTCTTCTGCCTTTTCCCTGCCCCAGTCTATTCTCTACACCACTGAATTTCCTCTCTGAAATGCAAAGCTGATCACTCCTCTAGCTAGAACCCTTTATTAGTTCTTTTCACCTACAGGATAATACAGAATAAGACCAGCTATATCTGCCTTTTCCTCTGCCTAGAACATCTGTCTTTTATCCGTTTGGTTAATTTCTATTTATTCCTCAAAACCTAGTTTGCCACATTCTCTGTAACGCTCTTTCTGATTCCCTGAGACAGTGTCAACCATTCCCTCCTTTTGGATACCTTGCACATACTTCTGCTTTGCACCTATTACACTATGTGACTTAGGATAATTAGTTATTTATAAAACTATCTCCTTCCTTAAGGGCAAGGACCTGTCATTTGGTCTTTGTATACTCAGCACCTAGCACAATATTGGAACATAGCAGAACCCTAATAAATCTTTTATTGAACTAAACACAGTATCTTAAAAATTCGTAACATTCATTTGCAAACACGAATCAATGAACTAATAAAACTGTTTTCTGTATTTAGGCAACCTGTTGTACTGCGAATGGCATGCCATAAATTAGCTGTGTGATTTGGTTCTGACGTGCTGTGGTTCCCCATCTCTGGAGGCAGGAGAGGGGATCTCTACTTGTGTTATGGGTTGAATGTGTTTCCCCAAAATTTCATATGTTGAAATCCTTAGAATGTGACCTTATTTGGAGACTGAATCTTTACAGAGGTAATCAGGTTAAAATGAGGTCATTAGGGTGGAGTTATGGGCTGAGTTACATCCCCTCCCAAATGTATATGTTGAAGCCCTAACCCCCAGCACGTCAGAATGTGGCCGATGTGGAGATAAGGGTTTTAAAGAGATGATTACGTTAAAATGAAGTCATTAGGATGGGGGGCCTGAATCTAATCTTACTGGTGTCCTTATAAAAAGAGGAAATCTGGACACACAAAGAGATACCTAGGATAGGCATGCACAGGAGAAAGGACATGTGAAGACACAGCAAGAAGGTGGCCATCTAGAAAAGAGAGAGAGGCCTTAGAAACACTTTGACCTTGGACTTCCAACCCCCAGAACTGTAAGACAATAAATTTCCATTAATTAAGTCACCCAGTCTTTGGTATTTTGTTATTGCATCCCTACTTACACATGGACTCTAATCCAACATGACTGGTGTCCTTACAATAAGGGGACATTTGAACAGAGATATGCATAGAGGGAAGACAACGTGAAGAGACTTAAGGAGAAGACAGCACCTATAAGCTGAGGAGAGAGGCCTGGAACAGATCCTTCCCTCACAGCCTTCAATGGGAACAAACCCTGCCAATAACTTGATTTTGGACTTCTAGCCTCCAGAACTATGAGCCAATAAATTTTGGTTGTGGAAGCCACTCAGCGCATGGCAGCTTCTTACAACATCCCTAGCAAACTAATGTACCTTGACAACCCTTTATTAACATTTCTTATTAATGTACATCCAAACTGAATCATAGAATATTTATTCTGGAAAGAACTTCACTAGTTCACCCTTTTTATTTCACAGATGATGAAACAGAGGCTCAAGAAAGTGAACTGGCTGCTGGGTAGTTGTCTCACTGACTGAGCTGAGATCCTGACGGAGCTTTCCTGTGACATCGTGTTTCTGCTGCTTCTGCTGTGGAGACACCCCACAAGAGCCTGCTCCACACCCAGTAGACCTGGTCCCCCTAGTGCATACTTGGTCTCCAAAAAGGCTTAGATGGATAAGAGCATCTTCACACATTTCTTTAAGATGTCCTGACCCAAGTGCCCCTAGCAGAAGTTTTATGGTCATGACTTTGGAATGTGCTAATTAAAGTCTTGTTAAATGACACTGAGGAGCACGAGGAGAATTCTCTCTCTTTTTTGAGATAAGTCAGGGTAAAACATTTGGTACTGTTTTACTCTAAGAGAGTTGCTATAACCAGAGAGGTTACAGCAGGGGTAAGGGCTATCACTTCCTCGGCCCCAAGGAGAAACTCCACATTTTTTTATTAGGCTTTATAAGGCCTGTAAAGGGTACTATCCCTTCCACTAACACCTGTGAGGATTTCAGGATCAGACAGCTCAGCTCTGCCACTTGCTCTCTGTGTGGCCTTTTCATATCCTTGTTTCCTCGTCTGGGATGTAAGGATACTCATACTATTTGATTGGTGTGAAGATTAGATGAGACACCACACAGCTGGCATGTACTAAACAAGACTTTTCAGTGGTTATTATTTTAGATAAAGAATCTAAATCTTAGACAGGTAAGTGGCTTACCCTTGTAAGTAAAAAGGGTAACACTGGATCTAGCACCTCAGGGGCCACATTCTGTAAACTTGAAATTATGCAAGACAGCTTTCTTGATCCCACCAACAGGTTTTGAATGACTGTGGGCAGGGAGAGAGGTCTGAACTGGGGAGTAGCCTCTGAATGTGGTTTGTGTGCAAGATGGGCAAGCAACCAGACACACGGAGCAAGTGGACAGGTGGCCAACTCTGCCATGAATGGCTGGGGGAGGCAACATGCAGTGGGCCACACCCACCAAAGGATGCTCAGATTCAGAGGTCAGATGGATTTTCCCAGAAGTCCATCTGGGAAATCTTCGGGGTGGGGGTGGTCTCTATCCTGAGGGAACCTCAGTCAGGGGACTGGACATGCTATGCCGAAGGGCATGACCTGGCTAGATTCCCCTGTCCCCCATCCCCGGTCATCTGGGAAAGCCCTCCATACATACACCAGGTCATCACAGACAGGAGTCTTCTTGGAATGACTCCTGTTGTTTCCTCAGTGGATGCAGAAAGAAGAATGTCAGGGCATAGTAATGCCTTGCAGGACCAGCACCTTGGTTCTTCTGTTCCTGAACCTACTTGAGGCATGGACACAAGATCTATCAGTGAAAAGGGTCCAATCTCAAGTGGTTAGATGGGCTTACATAATCAGCCCTTCCTTCCTTTTGATAACAGAATAATGATGCTTTATCTTTCCAGAGAAAGAGCGGTCAGAAGAACTAGGTTTAGGTGGTGACCCCTCTATTTATAAGCTGAAGAAACTTGAGGCGGATACTTAAGTGCTACTAACTTCAAGTTCCTCATTTGTAAAATAAGGATGATGACAACAGTTATCAGATAAGGCTATTGTGAGGATCACAAAGATTATACATTTGAAAGTGCTTTGCCAACAATAAAGCGCTGTATGACTTATCATTATCCCCAAACTTTATAGTCCAAGTCTTAATCAGAGAGCCGACTCTCCTGGCCCTCTGACCAGCTCTGGGATTCACAGTCCATTTCCTGAAATGTGACCCTTTATTATATCCTGCTTTTCATTATTGAGCAAATGTTTCATGTCTTAGCTTTATGACAGGTTGCTGGAGAGCAGAGGTCATGTATCATATCTTTTCCCTATTTCCTATCCCATAGGTAACTGATAAATACTTACTGATGGTGTAGAACCATCCCACCATTAGTGGAGCATGGACCTGAGAGGCAGGACCTGCCCCCCTGCACTCTCTTACCCGGCCACCACTGCAGGTTAGAGCCAAGGCCAGAGGGGAGAGGAAGGATCTCAACTTGAGACCCAGGCCGTGGGTCTGGCTCCATCATTTTTCACTGGTTACCTCAGCTGTGAACTGAGCATAACGGCGCCCTGGTCATTATGAGCAGAGGGCACACACTGAATGGACATGGGAGACTTTCATGAATTGTAGAGAAAAAGTAAACTGTTGTTACCAAGGTGAAGACCACAGCTATGGAAGCAGAGCAATTGGTGCAGGTGGGGACTGAGCCTACATCATTAATGTGGCGCACTGCCCACCACCAGGGCACTCACCTGAGGAATCAGGCCAGCATGTGGACCACGGGACGAAGGTCTGAGAGCGGTTGCTGATGGGGTTGCTCACAGTGCAGATGTAGACATTGTTGGCATGCTGGGGGCCAAGGGTAAGATACAGGAGGCTGGAGCCGTTGGCAGGTCTCAGCGAGTGGGTGCCCACCTCCTCGCTCCAGCTGTAAGCCACCTGGTCCCCCTTCTCTGCTGTGCAGTCCAGCGTCAGGCTGCAGTTCCCATGCTCCTGGGTTGAGTTCAACACCTTAATTTCCGGAGTGGAGACCTGCTCTGTCAGGAGGGGGAGGAAGGGAGCCATCACTGAAAGGAACCCTCTGGAATTCTGACTCACCTTCTTTGTCAGAAGAAAATGCAGTCTAATGGCACTTTTTCCCTCTCAGTGGGTCTGCAGTGTAATTTATTCCTAGTGGGGACCTACTGCTTTGCACCATCTGTCTCCCTATGCCCCAAACCCATACTCCTTTCCAGGACCACTTGGAATAAAATAGAGAAGAAAAAATTGTCTCTTAGTCCCCTCCTACCAATACTGTAAGGGCTCCCCCCGCCCTTTCCTGTTGTTCCTGATCTAGGTTGCTCTCCTGTATTCTAACTGTGGTGTTTGCTGTTGGTTAAATCCCCCGTGGGTTTTAAGTGTCCTTTGCTAGAGTATTACCTTCTAGACCTAAAAGAATTACTTTTTGGTGGTGGGATTTCATCTATACTCTGTGAGGGGTGGTGTGTGTGTGTGTGAATAGCAAGAGCTTTAGGGTGTCTGGAATAGGGATAGCCATAGGTCTCGTCAGCTAATCCCACTCTAATTCTGTGAAATAGGCAAGGTAAAAGGGAAAGCTGTATTTATTTAGTAACTACTATAGGACAGGCATAATGCCAGAATTTCACATTCATCATATTCTTAAATCTTTTCAGCCATTTTGATCCTATTTATAATTATACCCATTTTATAGATGAGGAAACTGAGTCCCAGAGTGGTAGACTGTCTTATATAATGTCACACAGCCTCTCAGCAGCCAAACTGAGATCTGAACCTGCATCTGTCTGACTCCAAAATCCAGCCTCTTTCTTTGACTTGAGAAAAATAGCAAGGCTGCAGAGACCATATTTTCCAAGGTAAGAATTTGATCATAAAATATGATTAGATTTGACAAACGCAGTGAACTGTGCTAGAAAAATGCATATGTAGTCTTCATGCTAATGGCAGCCTTGCTCCCGGGACACTGTGGGAGTGAACAGGACTCCCTGGTACCTGGTGGAGGGCTGTGGAAATTCTGCATTACATTGTTTGGAGGAAAGGGAATGTTGGGGCGAGCGGAAAGGTGGGAGGGCATTGCTGTCTCTCCTGTAGGTACCTGAGGATTTCAAAGTAATGCTGGGTGTATGGGGCTCCTGTTCCATCCTCAGAGATAAGGAAGTGATCGTGAAGAAGCAGGACAGCCCAAGTGGCTGCCAGGACCCCTGGGAACTCAAGGGAGCCTCTGGACTTAAGAGACACAAACTCTGGGTACATTCAAAAGAGTTGACAGTTAAAGAGGCTCAAAAAAATCTCCAACCTTAGAGTCAGATGGACATAGGTTCCAGTTAAGTTCTGCAACTAAGAAACTTTATAACCAAAGCCTTTGTTTAAATAAGAAGGAGGCGCCTCTTCCACCAGGCAGATGCAATCCTATGCCAGGACATAGGGCTTGGCGAGTGGTGTGTGGGATGAGTTTCAGCTCTCCCTCTCCCAGGACCCCTAGTGTAGTGAGCCACCTACACAGATGCGAGTAGGCATGTGCAAACCACTTATCTCCAGATGTCCGTGTCCTCCTCTGTGAGAGGTTGGACTCAATCAGTGATATTCAAACTTCCTAAAAATCAAGAAAAAAAAAAAACCCAAAACCTTTTTTTCCAAAGAAAATCTCATTTGCAAAGCGAGACTCTTGGGGCTCCAGGGCCTCCAACCTATCGGCAGCTGGTCTACTTTTCTTTGGAAAATGGGAGTAAAGCTATCACTAATGCGCAATTTGGACAAAAAAAAAAAGATTTGTGAACTGCTGAAACTTCTTCCTGAAGCACAGTTTCCCCCTTGACTTAAATGATCTATCAAGTCGCTTCCAATTCTAAATACCCTTTGCTTCTGAGAGAGGCCTAAATACTTGGGCAAAGAACTCTCTTGGCCCTCCAGCGTGGACCGGGGAAGCCACTATTATTACCATAGAGCTTCAGCTGCAGGCAAAAGTGTTGGACTGAAACGTTTTCCTCCACGCTCATAAAGTACCAGCCCTCATCTTTATTCCTGCTCTCCAGGATCCTCAGGCTCAGGTTTTCCAGGTGAAATGTGTAGCCATCCTCCAGATATCCTGGAGATCCCCCTTCCGGCAGATCAAGAGACACTATTTTCTTCTTGACCTTGCTTCCGGGTGACTCTGCCTTTGTGATGAGGATGTGGATGCTCTTGTTCATGCTCTTAATCATCCACTCAGAGGCCAGGGGCAGCAGCACGCTGCTTCCCAGCCGGCCAGGGATCTCTGGGCAGTTCATCAAGTCCTCACCTGCAGGAGGAAGGCAGAGGAAGTCCTTTATCATGGAAGCCTTTGAGAACCACACAGCCTAGTCATCAGGAGTAACAAACTGGAGGATCTCCCTCTTCCTCTTGGGCTACCCCTGGGGTTGCTAGGCCCTTAGCACTTTATAAGGACTGTCATGAGAATCCCACTATCGTCTCAGTATTTCAGAAACCCCAGTGGAAACCTAAAAATGACTTATGAGAGAGCTGTACAGACTAACTAGGACACTGGGTTTCTTTGATCTAGGAGGGAATTTTATCAACTCAGATTTGTAGGTGAGGCACTCAAGGCACAGAGACGTTAAGTGACTTCCCTAAAGTCATATAGCTAGTAACTGGACTAGACTCCAGGTCTGTTAATTCCTCGACCAGACATCTCATCACCATTGTATATACAGCATGAAGGTTGGAGAGTAAATGAAAGTGATTCTGAGCTTGTGAGTCCAGGAGACCACGGTCACAGAAGCATCATTTCAGATGAGGAGGAAAGAGGAAAGTCTGAGGGATGTGGAGTCTGGGAGGGGGTGGGCCCGTTGTTCAAACCGTGGAATTCTAGCTCTCCAAAAAAAAAAAATCATTAAGATACTTAGTATGGTTGAGGGTGAGAAATTATTCTCTTTTTCAAAAAAGCTGAGCCAACAACAACAGTCAAAAAAAAAAACCCACCCAAACCTTTCAAACCACTGTAAGGGATCCTACTGCTGACTATCTAACACCTTTTCTCTCTTTAAACCCACAGCCTCAGTTGATGACTGAAAAAGAAGAAGAAACAAAAGAGAACTTCCATTTGTTTCCACCACCAAGTCAATTTACCTACTTGGATGGATGCTCTATGCTCCCAGCGAAGGGTAGCATCTTTGTTCATGGAGCAGTCACCTGCTTCAAGGCTTTGCTCCTGTAATTGCCCCCCCCACCCCTTGCATCATCACCTTCGTTATTGGTATGGGATGTTGTGGGTTATTTCCACCAACACAAAACATTCCAACATGTAATTTCCCTCATCTTGAAGACTGCTCCCCTGACCCAAGGTCCACCCCCAGCCACCTCCCCATTTCACCGTTTTCCTTTATCACAAGTTTCCTTTAATGTGTGGTATAGTTTATACTGTGTGCTTTCTGTCCCCATTTCCTGATCCATTTTTCCTGGTACCCACTCCAAACAGGCATTCTTCCCTACTACTCACTAGAACCACTCTTGTCAAGGTCACTGTATCTCCATGGTACCAAATCAATTCTCTATCTTCATCTTGCTTTCTCAGGAGCACTTGGCATAGTTCAGATCCCTCCTTTGAAATAGCGTCTTCACTAAACCCTCCTGGTTTTCTTTCTATTTCATTAGCCGCCCCTTCTCAGTCTATTTGACTGGAACTTTCTGCTCTAAAAGACTTCTAAATACTGGAGCATCCCAGGACTCAGTACTCAGAACCATTCACAGCCATGCTCCCAGGTCTACCAGCCACACTCATCCAGTTGCAGTTTGACATGTTTTTGGAATCCTTATAGAGCTACATCTCCTACCCAAACCCTTCCCTGTACTCAAAACTGCCCACACATAATAGGTATTTGGGAGTCTAAAGGGCATCTCAAACTTAGCAAATGAACTCTTGATTCCATAGCTCCTTCTGCAAACAACATTAAATTCCCCCAAATTCTCAGCCAAAACACTGGAATCATCTTTGACTCCTTTCTTTCTCTCATACTCCACACTCAGTCTGTCAGCAAACCTTGTTGGCTCTGCCTTCAGAATATACCTGGCAACTGAGCACTTCCGACCTCCTTCATTTCTACCACCATCATCCCAGGCCTGGGCCCTGCCACTGTCTTCCAACAAATCTCCCTGCATCCATACAATGGAGAGAGTGATCTTTAAAAACTATGTCAGATTTTGTCTCTCTCCTGCTTTTTTTAAATTGAAGTATAGTCAGTTTACAATGTTGTGTCAATTTCTGGCATACAGCATAATAGTTCAGTCACACATAAACATATATATATTCATTTTCATATTCTTTTTGATCATAAGTTACCACAAGAAATTGAATATAGTCCCCCATGGTATATAGTATGAACTTTTTGTTTATCTATTTTATATACAGTAGTCAGTATCTGCAAATCTTGAACCCCCAATTTATCCCTTACCACCCCTTCTCCCCCTGGTAACTGTAAGTTTGTTTCCTATGTCTGTGAGTGTTTCTATTTTGTAATTAAATTTGTCTTTTTTTTTTTTAATATTCCAGGGCCTTCTAAGCACCCATAGAATAAAAATCCGTAGTCCTTATTATGGCTTCAAAGACTCTGAATAACCCAGTCCCTGGCTCCTGTCCAGCTCCATCTCCTGCCCTGTCTCCATTCACTGCGCTATGGCCTCACGGGCTCTGCTATTCCTTAATTCACCCAGAATCTTCCCATCTCACAGCCTTTGCATTTGCTGTTCTCTCCCTCTCCGGAAATCTCTCCCCTTACATAGCTAAAGAGCTCATTCCCTCATTTTATTTCAGATTTCTGCTCAAAAAATTATCTTCTCTGAGAGACCTGCTCTGGCCATCCTGTCTAAAGTGGCATCTCCCTTCTTACTGCACTTATCACTATCGGATGTTATACTGTATATTCGTTTATTTTTATCTCCTCCACTAGAATGCCAACTCTCAAGAGGAAGAATTTGTTCACTCTTTGGTCCCTATGACCTAGAACAATGGTTGGTACATAGTTGGCTTTAAATAAATATCTATTCAATTTATGGAATGCTGAAAGCCGTGTTACCTAAAACTCCCTTATTTTGCTTTGCCCAGTATGTGTCAGAACTTAATAACTGAACTTAACCATAAGCTAAAGTTTATAAAAGAAAGAGCCCATGACTCAGAGAGAGCACAGATTGTTCTAGTTGATAAGGAAGTCAGAAGAGTACGATAAAGCTGTCTAAGTAATGCAGCGACCCAGAAAAGGCACAGTTAACTTGAGGTTAAGATGGGTTGTTGGAAATTTGGGCAAACTGATTAAGATGTCCTCGATACCAAAATGCTCTAAGATCCAATGCTGTCCTATAAAGGGCCCAGCTGACTTCAGACTAGAGATTCAGAGGTTGGGAAAAAAGAAAAAATGGGATTCGAGGGATTCGATTGGCACAATTATTAAGGAAAAGAGAGAAAGACAATTAGGCATTTGTTCTTTTACATGTTGCTGATACATCAACACTTAAGAGTCCTCTCCCTTGTTGCCTAATTGATTAGACAAGAAATGCTGTTGTTGGTGTTCGTGTTGCTGTTTTTACAAAGATAAATTGGACAGCATGTTGGAATTTGTTCCAGCCACACTTATGGATGCCTGACTATCCAGACAACTTGATAGGTACAGTACCCAAAAGAGTAAGCTCTTGAATCCTGAACTTAAACTTCTACTTATAAAGGGATCACAGAAAATTAGAACAATCCATGCATGCAGTAAGTGGGCCCCCTGAAATTGTGTACAGAAGTTCTGTAGATCAGCATATATACGTTTTTCTGGTAGCATGTCCATAAATATCATCTTTCAAAGGAGTCTGGGCTTCAAATCAAGGTTGAGAATCACCATCATCCTGGTGATTTTTTAGACCAATTTTGATATGGAGGAGAAATGGACCATTCTCAGACCATAACCCTCCCCTCCCCCTATGTCTTCTGTGTGCCCCTTCCATCCATCTAAACCAATAGACTCATTACACCGTGGTGATTTTCAGAACTTGGAATTGGTGGGTAGCTGGGGGAAGAGGGGAAATGGAATGGGGCAGGGAGTAACCCCCCTCCCCCAGAAAAAGAAAAATTAAAAAAAAAGAGGAGTGGAAAGAGGGAAAGAAAGAGAGGGCAGATGAGGAAAACAGGCCGAGTGGTTTAGGTAGATTCAGTCATGCGGAATGGAATCAAAACTTCACCAGGAAGAGACCCTCACACCCCAAAACCCACATGAAGAATGGTGAGGTAACAGCTGAACATGTGTGAGTGGCCAGGTCTGCAGGGGGTTCATGAAATCATCGTCACCCAAGCAAGAGTGGAAAATTAAAGTGGTTCATAAAACCCTTCAAGTGGAGTCCCAGCTCCTGAAACACTCTACTGCCTGATGAGTGTTTTCCAGTGGGTCTGTGATTCAGTCAGCCCCTGTTTACTAAAAGAGTCTGGAGGAAACATTTGTAGCTGTTAACACCAACTCACTTTCCTTCCACAGTAATGCTGCTTAGAAAGTAGAGTGATTCACATGCGCGCATGGATATTTTCCTGAAATCAGTAGCATTTAGCCAACGTTTTCACAAGATGGGATTTTACCTAATGATAACTTTTTTTCTTTTTTTCTTTGGTCCAGCCCTAATGCTTTCACATGTGCTTGTAGCACCTTGCTACAGCATTTCTTCCAGGTAGGACTTAGAGACCTCACAGTTCTTATGGCAAACCTAGGCCTACAAAGAAAAAGTAACGTGTCTAAGTCTCTTTTTTAAACTGAAGTCCCACCAGCTGTCCTCCTGTTCCCATTCCTTGACACTGCTGCGTCTTCCTATCTTAGAATATTTGCACTCACCATCCTCCAGCCTGAAATCCTGTTACTGCCCTTCCGCCCTTCGGGTCTCCGACCCTTGGCTTAGATTCTGTTTCCCTGCCATGTGTTTCCAGTGTAATTTGCTTCTCTCCTTCATATCACTCATCACACTTTTCACTCTGGCTCAGTGCTTGTCATCCTTACTTGATTATAAGCTTCCAAGAGTGGGGATTGTGTCTGTTTCATTCACTGCTGTAATCCTAACACCCACATAGGATATGGTAGAAACTCAGTAAATCCTTGCCCAGGAGAATGAAAAAACTGAAGGAGATGAATGAATGAATGAATGAACAAAAGACAACACAGAGCCTAATTTCTCCTCTCTCTAAAATCAAAGTGTACTCTGTTGTTTTTATAACATCCCTAAGAGGTATTTATGTAGGGAAATGATGAGGACTCTTCTCCCCACTTGCCAGTCTGGAGATGGAAGTCCTTAGTTCGGAACCCTAGGTTTCAGATACAGCAGGCTGCTTACCATTCCCCCTGAACACTCACAACACTTTACCTCTGCATCTGGGCCTTCATCTAGAATACTCTTTTCAAGTCCTATAAAAATTTAACCTACCAGGCATATATATTTGGAAGGACATGCAAAAAACTGGTAACAGTAGGGAGAGGTATGAAAGGGAGATCGGTCTCCATTCTATATCGTTTTATAAATTGTTGAAATTTTATAGACATACACGTAAAACTCTGTCAATAAACAAATTAGTTTTAAAAAATTCAATGAAAATATTACATGATGAAAGACGTTTCTATTCACTTTCCAAATTCTAGATCGAGTACTTCCATTATGCCTTCTATTTCCTCCTATAATTTTATCAACTTCTCTCACCTTTTGAAAATTCTTATACGTCCTTTCAATTCAATTAAAACCAACTCATATGTTTCGATAATCAATAGCATATTATATATTCATAGATGCGGATACTAATTTTAGCATTCTCCTCCTCCCTAAACATAAGCTTATCCAGTTTCATTCATTGAGGCCTCTGGAATCAAGCTGTGTGACTGCAGAGAAAGTACTAAACTACTCTGTGCCTCTTCCTTTTTGTAAAATTGTAATGGTAACGATAACAACGCATATCTCATAGGGTTGGTATGAGAATTAAATGAATAATACACATAAAGTACTTACAGCAGTGTCTGATATATTGCAAAGATACTGTGCATACTAGTATTATTCACTCAACAAACATTTGTGGAAGGGCTCTCATGTAGCAGACACTGTCAGGTGCTGGGCAGGGGCCGTGGCTGTTTATTTTAAAGTCAACCTATGGCTAATACCAAATAGTCCTGAGGTTCTGATTTCTAGTCCAGCACTGGAGACAGTGAAGGTAATGACATTGTATCATAATATTAAAGCTTTTGAAAAATAAAAGTGCCTAGATCTACATCTTGGGATAGAATAAACCAGTGAACACACAAGGATGGGCCAAGTCTAGAGCCCCCGCACTGGTCCCTCACCTCTCCCCCTACATGTGTGAAAGAGGTGGAGAGGACCTGCATGGAGGAATAAAAAATCCCACTGGGGCAGATTCTTCAGTTGTAACAGACATACTACTCTGCTGGGGGGTGTTGATAATTGAGAAGGCTACGCATATGTTGGGGGAGTGGGAAATCTCTGTACGTTCCACTCAGTTTTGCTGTGAACCCCAAATTGCTCTAAAAATGAAGTCTATTAAAAATATATGTATCATTGGGGGAATTGGAAAATTCACTTTACTAGGGAAGGGACGTGCGGATTTTGATTTTTGTAATTCTGACTGGTTATTGGAAGGTGAGCTGAGTAGACATGGGGAAAGGTGTGGGTACTGATTTTACAAGAATTGGGCTTTTTGGTTGGGTAAATCTGTCATGGTTGACCTGTCCCACTTGCAAAGGAGTTCCGTCTGGGTTTTATTGGGGTTTCACAAAAGGGTACGTATATAAAAATAAAAACACTAAAATTTTTGTACATATTTCAGAGAAGATGAATGCAAAGAAGGGAGCCATTGCCAATTGGATAGACATGCCTTATGGGGCTGGGCTGTATCTCACTAACCAGTGACCTCCATAGCCTTCAGGGGAGAAGCTATCAGCAGAACCTGAGATGCCGTGGGCCAGGCTGGCCAGGAGGCAAGCAAGCACAGAGATGGAGAAGTCCAGCTCACTGTTCAACCCCACAGCTCCTGACAGTCACTCAGAAGAATTCCAAAAATGGTGGAGTCACACATAGGGGACGCCCAGGAAGGTATACTCTCCCTGTGATGGCTTAAGGTGTTTCTGTTTGGGTTTCTGAGCCCTGAGCTCAATTATTCCTCTCTTAGACCTCGGGAAGCAAGAGCCATGGATCTGCCTGATTCCAAGAAAAGTGAACTTAAGGAAGGGCTCTTCATCTGGGAGTCTGGCAAAAAATATATCCCAAGTGCAGCCCCTCTTACAACTCCGGCATTATCTCTGGACTCTTCCTGGAAAAGTCCATAATGGATTTGCGGTCTTGAAAACCCCAAGAACAAAGCTTCTGGAGCCTCGGGATTTCCCCCCTCCCTTCCCTAATGCTGCCTCCACTCCAGGCTGCCTCCCACAGTCTAAAGTCCCGAGGCATTTAAAAAGAAAGGAGATTCTCACCCACTCCACGGGGAGGCCAAATTCCACTTCTTGCTTGGTTTTTTCTTTCTGAGACACCTTTCCTCATAGCTCAGATACTACTAAAGAGAGAATACCAAGTGCCTTTGGAGGAAGACAAGCCAGAAAGACAGGAACAGAGCCTAGCTCCAAACGCCTTGTGGTATGTTTGGCCCTCTCGTGGAGCTGCCCTGACCCCGAGGGTTCCCAATTTTCATATTTCACTTACTGTAACCAGCCCTGGGCTACAAAAATCTGGGCCTCTCCCCCTCTTGCTGCCTTGGACCTTTTTTTCCAGGAAAGTAGCCACCAGTATGACCACACTGTGGCCACTATCTGCTCTTGACCAATGCCTGGGGTTTTCACTTCGACCCTCTTCCCACTAGAGCTACTTCTTGTTGCCGGACCATGTTTGTGGTTTGTCTGCCTGTGTGTGTGTGTGTGAGAATCCCCATTCAGGACAGGGGTACAGGAGTAATCTTTTCCCAGAGCTTGTCCCTCCCTTAGCCTGGGTCTTTGCCAAAATGATACCCATGAAAAACCAGCCTCTCAGCCAGGACTTTGACTGGAGCCCCTCACCCGGAGTGGCTAGTCTAGAATGTGACTGGTGCCTTTGGCTTAGAGCTCTTGGTTTCCTAGGAAACTAAAATTTGTGGGGCTGAGCTTTGGAGCCAAGGGGCCCAGCAACTCATGATGTTTCTTCCTCTTTGAAAGAGGCAGGCGGAACTCAGAGCAAGTCTGTAAGAAGGAGGCAGCAGAATCACAGCCCCCTGCCCCTGCATCCTCTCCCCATCCGTGGGGCTAGCTGATTCCTGGCAGAGAATAGTGGGACCCAAGCCCTCAAACAGACGAACACTCACTTGTTCCGCAGCTCAGCTCAAAAGCCAGGGAGAGAAACAGCAGGACGTTCAAGGAGAGGAGTCCCTTGGGATCCATCAGCCAGTGAAGAGAGGGAGGGGAGCCTGGTGAGGAACCCGGCAGCTGCTCGCAGACGCCGCAGCAGAGTGAGCTCCGCGTCAGTCAAGTGCTGCCTCTACTGTCTAGTTTATGCATCAGGAACCGGCAGGCTTCCTGTCTCACCGGGACTTTTTCTGCCTATGCCTCCAGGATTGCTCATCTCCTTTCAGGTCTTAAATCACTCTGCTGTTCCCAAGAAGTCAGGGTCAGGTGCTTAGACCACTAGAGCCGGGAAGAGAGCTGTGTAGTCACCTCGGCCAAACCTCAGTTTTGGGAAGAAACGTGCTCCCCTCCTCCCTTTCTTAGCTGTCTCCCGGAAAGGGATGTCAAGCTTCTCTGAGCAATTCTGTCTGGTAACTCTTCTTGGAGTACAAAGAAAAGATGCAGTTTTGTCTGGCCACCCCAAATATGGGTAGGTTAGTTCAAAGCTAAACCTGGATGACTGAACTGTGATGAGCTGATGGACCTCTTACTTCTGATCTGTTCCATAATTTCAGAGAACACCTCTACATGCAGTCAGGTCCTGGTGCCAAAGTCACAGAGAGATGGAGTGGGCAAGGGTGGGTCAGTTGGCAGAAACCCAATTTCCCTGCTGGGTACAATGTGGTAGAATTTGGTGAGCCCTGTACTGTGTCTGGAGGGGCTGCCTTTATTTTCGAGCTTGTAACTAATTTTTGTTGAGGAGAAGGAACCAGAATTGACAGAAGGAAGATCCCGCGCTTTTCCGTAAGTTAAGCTGTAAGAATGAAACACAGGAAAGATGCTATTACTGGCTCACAAGGAAACTTTGGAAGACCAGGCTAGCGTTTTTAAAGTCCATTTCAGCGAGTCAAAGGTACTCTCCAATGGCCTCCCTAAGAGGATAAGGGTAATAAGAGTTGGTGATGTATGTGAATTTGCTTTTGTTTTGTTTTGAGGGGAGGGTAATGAGGTTTATTTATTTTTAGGGCAGGTACTGGGAATCGAACCCAGGACCTCACGCAAGCCAGGTATGCACTCTACCACTTGAGCTATACACCCCCTACTCCATGGATTTGCTTTTTAATCTTATGGTTCCCTGCCCTCAGCCCCATACATACACACCTAACACTCAACCATCCTCCGCACAACACTACCCAGTGGTGTGCTGGAGCCAGCAAATGCCAACTCATGAGAGGCAATTGTAAAAGTTTCAGGAATCTTGTGAGCTGGTTGGTTGATAAACATTGCCATTATTAAAAAGTGAATTATATAAACTTACAATTAAATGAATTATATTAAAGTTAGGGGAATAAAACCTTAAAACTCATTACTTCTTAATTACTTTACACTTTACTATTATCTCTGCTCTTGAAGACATTTATATCTGTTGCATCTCTGTGGTGGAAATAAAATACCAGGTCATATGTGCTGCTACACTTCTCTTCCCAGCTCTGCATTCAGTGTCATGTTGGTAGCTTGAAATCAGCCAGGGTGGAAGTACATAGATCATGAAAGTTGGAAAATAATAAAAATCAGAGTTCTGATTTATTGTTTTACTGATTGTCTAGAAAGTGATAGAGAAGAATAGATAAACAAGATTATACTGTATAGCACAGGGAAATATATACAAGATCTTATGGTAGCTCACAGGGAAAAAAATGTGACAATGAATACATACATGTTCATGTATAACTGAAAAATTGTGCTCTACACTGGAATTTGACACAACATTGTAAAATGATTATAAATCAATAAAAAAAAGTTAAAAAAAGAGAAAGTGATAGAGAAAATGGTGGTGATGCATATTAAACTTAAAAATGTGTCATAACTGTAGGCTTTACATCACAAAGTTTACTTTAAAAAATGAGGAAATACATTTCTAGTACTCAAAAACTATCATCTTATTCAGCAAAAATTCACTAGTGTCACTGATGAGAAAGTGAGGTTGTAATATACATCTTTGATGTTTCACATTTATTTAACTTTAAAAAAAATTGACCACAAGAAGGGAATGGAGTAACATATTTAAAGTGTTCAGGAAAAAAAAAACTAACCTATGATTCTGAATCCTGTGAAATTATCATTCAAAATTGAAGGAGAAATAAAAACTTTCTCAGGCAAGCAAACATGGAAGAAATTTGTTGTCAGTAGTTGTGACTTGCAAGAAATGTTAAAAGAAGTTCTTTAGAGAAAAGGAAAATCATAGAGGTCAGAAACTCAGATCGATATAGGAAGAGCATCAGAGAAGGAATAAGTGAAGGTAAAATATAAACTGTTATTTCTCTTAATCTAACAGATAACACATTGTTCAAAATAATAATGGCAACAATTTATTAAATTATGTGTGCCTATGCATATATATTGTGTATATATATGCTTATATATAAGTGAAAAGAGTGGCAGCAATGATACAAGGGAGAGGAGGGAGGAATTGGACTATTTTGTTATTACTACCCATGAAGCAGTATAGTGCTGTTTAAAAGTATGCTTGGGCTAGTTGTAAATGTATATTGCAGAATCTAGGCAACCACTATAAATAGTTTAAAAAAAAAAAGAATTGTGACTGATTTACTAAGAAAGGAGAGAAAATAGAGTCATTTAAAATGCTCAGTTAAAACCACAAAAAGCAGAAAAAGAGTGGAAGGCAGTAAGAGCAACAAAGAACAAGGGCAACAAATAGAAAATAGTAACAAATAGGGTAGATATTAATCCAATAATATCAATAATCATTTCGAATGTCAATGGTCTAAATGAACTAATCACAAGACAGAGATTATCACAGTGGATCAAAAAAAACCAGACCTAACTATACATTGTCTACAAGAAGCCCACTTTAAAAATAAAGACATATATAGATTAAAAGTAAATGGGTGGAGAAAGAGAAAACATGCTTACACTAGTGAAGAGAAGGCAGAAGTCGCTATATTAATTTCAGACAGAGCAGACATCAAAGTAAGGAAAATTATCAGAGACAAAGAGGGGTGTTACCTAATGACAAAGGAGTCAATTCTCCACGAAGACTTAACAATCCTTAACATGTACGGGCTTAACAACAGAACTTCAAATATGTGAGGCAAAAACTGTTAGAACTGCAAAGAGAAATAGATGAATCCACTGTCTTAGTTGGAGACTTCATCACCCCTCTTTGATAACATTACTTATCAAAATGTGTGGAATACAGTAAAAGTAGGGCTTAGAGGGAAATTTATAGCATTAAATGCATATATTAGAAAAGAAAGAACTAAAATCAATAATCTAAGCTTCTACTTTATAAAACTAGAAAAAGAAGAGCTAATTAAGTCCAAACTAAGCAGAGGAAAAGACAGAACGAAATTAGAGCCGAAAGAAAGAAACCGAAAACAGGAAATCAATAGAGAAAAATCAATGAAACCAAAACTGGTTCTTTGAAAAGATCAGCAAAATTGATGACCCTCTAGCCATGCTAAATAAGAAAAAAAGGACATAAATTACTAGTGTTAGAAATGAAAGAGGGAATATCACTACCAACTCCAGAAACATTAAAAGGCTAATAAAGAAATACTATGAACATCTCTATGCCCACAAATTTAATAACCTAGATGAAATGGACCAATTCCTTGATAGACACAATCTGCCAAAACTCATACAAAATAAAACAGACAATTGGAACAGGGCTACATCTCTTAAATTGAGTTAATAATTAATAACCTTCCAAAGCAGAAGCATCAGTTCCAGATGGGCTTACTGGTGAATTCTACTAAACATTTAAGGAAGAAATCATACTAATTCTCTACAATCTCTTTCAGAAGATTCTTCTGAAAGGAAAGAAGATACTTCTGTAGAGGGAACTCTTTCTATCCCACTCTTTTCCATCTTCTAACTCACTTTAATACCAAAAACAGACAAAGACATTACGAGGAAAAGAAAGAAAACCCCATAGACCAGTAACTCTCGTGAACATAGATGCAGAAATCCTCAACAAAACATTAGCAAACCAAATCCAACAACGTACAAAAAGAATTATACACTACAACCAAGTGGGATTTATCCCAGATGAGTAAGGCTGGTTTAACATTCGAAAATCAATTAATTCTTCATACCGACAGGCTAAGGAAGAATCACACGATCATTTTAATAGTCGCAGAAAAAAACATTTGACAAAACTGAACGGCCTTTCATGATAAAAACTCTTAACCAACCAGAAATACAGGGGATCTCCTCAACTCGATAAAGAATATCCACAAAACTCTACAGTGAAGCCATCCGGTTTGTGGTAATTTGTTACAGCAGCCGCAGGAAAGTAATGCAGGACCTGAAGGGCAAGGAGACTAACCTGAGGCTTGAGATTATTGTGCCTGGCACACCAAGCTGCTTTGTCAGCTATACAGAGCAGACTTTGACCAACAGACAGCAAAGATACACTAGTGACAATGCCTTGTATTTACAAAGCCGTTTTCAAAAGCCTTTGCATTCACCATCTTATTTGATTTTTACAACAGCCCTATGAAGGAGGCAATGCTGGTGGTGGTGTAAGGCAGCGCCTGGACCAAACGTGGGAACCTTGTCTCTGGGTCAAAACTCTTTCTTTTTCCCTGAGTGTACTCATTATTCCCATGAATATTCGAGAGGGTAGGAGGAGGGAAATTCCCCTAGCTGAACTCCCTAGATGCTTGGGGCCTCCACATACATCATTCCATTAATTTTTGTGACAGTAAAAAGCAGGCATAATTATCACTATTTTACAGATTGAGGTACAGAGCTGCTAAATAACTTGTCCAATGGCTCAGACTGAAACAATGGAAGGATTGGCTTCAATCCTAGTCTGACTCCAGAGTCTGTGTTCTATCCACTCACCACGGCACTTCCATCACACTGAGCAAGAACCTGAACCGGCCTTCAAGCTTGTGTTGGTCAATAGCCCATTATCCGTGAAACATTCCATCAGGCACAGAGCAGGGCAGAGGCAACAGGAGCATCCTGGGCAAGCAGTATTCCCTGCCTCATACCTCCATCACCTGTGACAAAGCACCACTTCCTTCCCTTTGGCTACGTGCAGCCCCACCCTGAGAGTGAGGAGGACCGTCTGTCTGTGGAAAACAACCCGAATAGTCTCAGGTGGCCTGCACAATGAGGCCATCCCTAGTCCTAAACAGGAGCGTGCAATATCCCCCTGAGACAAGTTACTCTCAATTCTGACACTTT